GGGGGGGGGGGGAGGAGAGCCTCAAAAGTCAGCCTTTGAGGCTGAGAGTGTGTGGCTTGCCCAAGGCCACTCAGTGGGTTTCCATGGCCAGGCAGGGATTTGAACCCAAGTCTCCAGAGTCACAATCCCACAATCAACCCATTATGCCACGCTGGCTCCAAATCAGAAGGAGAGCAAAAGATAAGAGAGATTAGACCTCTTAGGCCAGAGAGGGATGCAGTGCCGCAGCGCAATGGACTGGTGTTACTGGGGGCGGCAGACCCACAATGCAATGCAAAGACTGAGTGGCCGCATATTTTTTTGTGGGGGTGGTTATTTGCCTAGATTTGACCAAGGGCACTTTGACTGGTCATTTGTCCAGTGTCCCTGCTGAGGAAAGAGCGCCCTGTGCTTGTTCTGGCTGAAGAGACCAAGGTTTTGTCAGAGCCAAGGCAAGAAGAGGCGAGATCTCTGTGCCAAGCCCCAAACCTGGGAGATTATATGGAGATTCAGTGTTTAATGAAAACACGACTTGACTTGCGGCCCTTAAAAAGCACCCTGTGAAACTACCCCTGCGGTCCTTCTCCTTTAGATCGCCCACCATCACTGGTCAGTCTCAATGCTCAAAAGAGAAGAGGCCAGTCCAGAGAAGACCCTGCTCTCAAAACCAAATGCTTGGTGTTTGGGGTTCCAGTTTCTCTCCCTTCCCGAGAAATACAGAGGCTTCAGGGGTGAGGTGAGTCCTCTCTTGATGACATTTCAGAATTTAAGGCAGTTAACCCTGGTGCTGAACATGGTTGGAAGGGATTTTTAATCCCGGGCTCTTAAGAGTACAAAGGGACCCCTGAGGGTCATCTAGTCTAGTAGGAATGCACTGCTGAAGCACTCTAACCGCTTCCAAAGATGAAGAGTTGCGCAGGCAGTCTATTCTGCTCTTGAGCCGAATTTACAGTAAAAAACAAATCCTTATGTTTAGGTGGGGCCTCTTTCCTTGTCATTTGAACCCCTCGGTTTGTGTTTTTAGTCTCTGGAGTCGCAGAAAACAAGCCGGCATCCCTTCCGCCATTGAGAGGAGGCTCTTATGGTGCCACCTCTCCGTCTTCTCTTCTCCATAGAGGCTGAAGATACCCAGATCCTCCTTCGGCCATTCCTCCTAAGCCTTGGTTTCCAGACTCTCATTTTGTTCTTTGTCCAGGCTTTGCTTGTTCAGAGGCTGGAGCAAGAGCCAAGGCGGATGGCGAGGCCAGGCCAGGCCAGGCGTACGTGTGCAAGCGCAGGCGCAGCCGGGGTCCCGCGCCTGAGCCTTTGCCCTTTCCTCCACTTGGATCCCAGCCAAAGCCCAGGCAACCCTTCCAGATGCGACGTGACGCGAC